TTGGTAACACAAATCACCATAGAAGTCGATTTCATCACCCGTGTCTAGAAAAAATTGCAAAAAAATAAACCGAGTATAGAAAAAAGATTAATGAGGTGCCTCTAAGAATTGTTTCTAACAATTGGATGTTACGGACATGTTGCAGAGGAGATGATGGAGGGCGATGAAGCAGAATCTTGTGTTGGTCCATTGACAAGCTTTCGTTCAGGTGCTTACAACCGCTGTTGCAAGCGTTTGGGCTACAACCATGGCAAGTGCACAGGGCTTGCCTGCTCTTGCTGCAAGGCATCGAACATTAATTTCATAGCAACAAAAAGAGAGAATAGTGTGTATGAATCGAGCTGCATGACTAGATGGATGAACAAAATAAAATGGTTATTTCTTCCTTTCTTTTGTTCTTTGAGACTAAACTTGACATGGTATCCTATCTAGAAAGAAAAATATAATCAATCTCTGGCAAATTTGTGACGAAGGCCTTTCTTTGTTTGCAAAAAGTGTCCAATCTCATCATTTACATTAATTGCTACACTCCTACCCGAGATAAAGGTTTCAACCCATTTGATCCATTTGGGCGAAAAACCTTTCATGTGTAGAGTTCGTTACAAAAAAAGGTCATCTAACCTTGTCATAGGCTTTCTCAAAATTTGTTTTGACAATGACACCGTTTCATTTCTTGTGGTGGAGTTCATGTATTGGATAACGACCCCTTCAAGGATATTGCGCCCTCTCATGAAAGCCGATTGAGTTGGATTTACTATATCATGTGATTTGACTTAGGATCTTGTTTCGGTGTTCCAGACCGGTCAGGCTGGACAGCTGTAACACCATAAAATTTGCTTTTCTTCAAATAGAGTTAAATTCATCTAATTATGTATTTTTGTGTACATTTAAACCTAGGGAAAATAATAATTTTTATTGAAATTAAAATTCATCATAAGTCTAGAAATATGTTTATGCATACATTCTGGTGCATTTGTATTTTTTTTAGTACTTTTGTAAATCCCAAAACTGATTCAAATTTGAAATTGAAAATGGCTTTGAAACAAAAGAAAGAGAAAAGAAAAAGGAAAACCTCTCCCTCTCTCTGTTTTCGGCCTGTGGCCTGCTCTCCCTCGCAGCCCAATCTATCTCTCCTTCTGGCCCGAGTAGCGAAGCAGCCCAGCCAGCCGTTTCTCGCGCACAGCGGCCCAACTCCACTCCACGCAGAAGCCGCTCCGGCCCAGCCTCCTCTCTTCACTCCTCACGCGGCCCAGAGGAGGAAGCCCACGCGGGCACCCCTCTCTCCTGGCACGGGCCGAAGTCGCCGCAGGCCCAGCGCCCACTGGCGCCCCTCCCTCACTTCCCTTCCCTCGCTGACGACACGGGTCCAGCCGTCAGCGGCACCCCCTTCTCCTACCTCGCGTTATGACCGAGCCGGTCACTGCCGTTGCCGCCCGATCCTGGCTTATGCGGGATTCTCCGCGTAGGAGATCTCCACCGCTCCTATAAAGACCGAGTCCCTGTCCACGCCCCCGTTTCGCATCTACACGCCGCCGCCTTTGCCCTTGCTCCTTGCCGCACGCATGCTCGTTTCAAATCTCGCCGTCGAAGCAGAGCTCGCCCGCCGCCGTTGAAGCCCTTGCTCGCTGCCTTTCCGTCGTCTTGAGCCCACTGCCGAGTTTTGCACCGAGGTTTCTAAGCTTCCGAGCCCTTGTCTCCTCTTTCCCTCGTTCTCGTGTGGTCCCTAATCGCCACTGAACTGTCACAGGGAGCCACCGTCCGCCCCGCCGTGCCCTGTGCCGTCACCGAGCTACCTCCGTCCGTGAAAGGTGTCTAGGTGAGTTCGTCGTCGCCCGCTGGACCTCCCTGTGCCTTCCCCGTGGAGAACCGAGGCTTATACGTCGTTCTCGGCTAACTCCGGTGAGGTATCCGCCGCCGTCCATGGCAGTCGCCGCGCCGGTGTGACTGTTCCGTCCGGCCAACCTTTTCAACCCGCCCAAGCCGTCTCTCAGTCGTCCATCCACCTGTCGACGGTTAGGATTAGATCGGGTTAAACCCGTACCCCTTCGGTCCACCGCGACCCATGGACGCGGTCCACTGTCACTGGTCCACAGCACGGTGCACCCGACTCACGGCACCCATCCAATCCGCGACCCCCACGTGTCCGCCACGTCGGCCGGTGACGCAGTCAACCGGTCAGCATAGCTTATTTTGCAAAAGATTCCCCTACCTTTTCAAGAATAAACTCGCGGTCTGCTCCCTTTCAAAAGTATTTCAAATTAATTTCTTTTTCATCTATTTTAAGCCCTGTATTTTATAAAAAATAGAACCCGTCGTCCACAGGGGTAGTTTTATAGGTTAGACCTCATGTTTATAATCAAAATTACGTATAGGTCTATTTTTAAAACTACAAAACTGCCACTGACTCTTATTTTAAGCGTATAATCTCCGTTTTAACTCCGATTTGAGTGATTCTCGCGTCTGCGTGTTCGTAGCATCGCGTAGAACAGTTTTAAAACCTTTTTAACTTCTTTTTATACTGTTTGGTGTATTGTTCTAATCAGTTTATATATGTTTGTTATGCATGTATGTATGGATGCCTGTGTAGTGCTGCTTGATCTCGATTAGACAATGAGTTTTACGTGGGTAATTGGAAGCAACTCTTTGAAGATTAAGACCACCAGCGATGCATTGAATTAAGGCATGTATAATATGAGACTCCTTATTACCTATTCACTTTAATGCAATCTCAACTCATATGCATATGTTTAATGAACCGCCTAAAGTCTATTTAACTTGATGTTGATTATCATATCCTTGATTTACCTATGGGTTTTGCATGTGGTTAGTATGCTTATCTTGCTTCAACTAATATTGAGTAAAGAATACAATTAAAGATATATGCAACATGGTATTAAAAGATGTTTTTTAGCAATATGGAACCAAGAGGGCTAGAGCATTGGATTTTTCTTATGGTGCTCTAGTTTCTCTTCATAAGGACTCATATTTAAGTGGCAACCCAGGACTTACAGTACAACCATGAGCACTACATGGCTCTGGTCTTAGTCTAGTACCTTGCTCTTTCTAGTTTGTAGCAGCTTATCGAAAGGGCAAGAGGGGCATACTAGGTTGGGTATGGGTCTCATCCCTAAGGTGTGTACTGTGGTGCGAGTATTAGTACCATTCTTGGAGATGACTCCATAACACTTGGGAGATGGAATCCTTAGCGGCTGCTCCTTATTAGAACGACTGGGGAAAAGCTTCGTAGTGTAGCCTGCCTGCTCACCTTGGAAGTGTTTTGAGAGTAATTAATCCGGGCAAATGGGCAACACGACTCATGGTGAAAGTGTACAACCTCTGCAGAGTGTAAAACTAGTATATCAGCCGTGCTCACGGACACGAGCGGCATGGATCCTTACTGAATAGTTGGTTACTTGGATGGTTTGGGTTATGATTAAAATTGATGATATCTCTAATTATTCATATTCGGGAGCCTAAGTATAACTTAGCAACTTATGATTAATAATAAAATATGACTAACTAAAAGTGCTTACCGCAGTTCAGCCGTGTCAAGCCTTTTGAGCCTGCATCCCCTCATGTTATGCTTACTAAGCGGCAGTAGCTTACGCTTGTTTTATTTTAATACTTTGGCAAAATCCCGGATGGGTATCAGATGGAGATTCTTCAGTGGAGTTTTCCAAGAGGTGTTAGGCTTGTGATCAACCAATTGACGATTCCTGTGGTGTTGGAGTCTTCGCCAGAAGAATAGAGTTATAGTATATACTGTAAAGTAAGACTATGTCTTTTGTAACAAATATTTATGCGCTATGTAATAAATGCATTGTCTTTGATATTATCTCTTCGTTTGTAACTATATGTGCGAATTGATTTCCCCACATATGTGATGTACCTCGTTTTGTTCTTAAAACTGGGTGCGACAACAGGTCAATGTAAAGTTTCATCTGAACACGAAATATATATGGAGGCTGTTTCTGTTTGTGCATGTTTTTTAGTCTTCCATATTGAATAATAGCACTATCAATGTTTGTTTAATTATACGCTCATGTATTCGTTTGTTTGTTATAATGAAAAATAGAAGAGAGCTCGACATGGAAATAAATCTAAGAGATCTGAAGAAAGTTGCAGACTTGACTTATTTTACGAGCAGTCCAAGGTGAAGAAGCGGTTAGGAGAACATAGCAGCAACCAATATATTTCATTTCATTTCATTATCATTGAAGTTTTTTTGGAAGACCATTATCATTGCACTACCGTCCCCTGCAGGCTGCAGGTCATGCAAAACAAGATAAGTTTAGATGACCTTTATTAGGAATCCTATTCGGCGATCCGTTTGCCACGACAAAATTACTTTTGCAACATTTTCCAAGTTAGATGTTAATAAATAAAATTGAAGTACATGCCAAATAAAGGAGATACTAAGCTAGTAATATGCTAGTAGCAATTACAGCTAGCTTATTTACAAGCATATACCAACATTTCCATCCTTCTCTGCATCTCATGCAAAACGAGGTAAGTTTAGATGACCTTTATTAGGAATTCTATTGGGCAGAGGCATCTGTTTGCCACGACATAATTACTTGCTAAAGTTATCGTCCTGCTTTTACATCATTCTAAATTAGATGATAATAAATACCTACTCTGTTCGAAATTATAAGTCATTATGCAACTAGACTTGTGCTATGTCTAGATGCATAAGAAAAGCTATGTGTCTAAAAAACTAGAATGACTTATATTAGAATGGAGGGAGTAAAATTGAATTACATGCCAAAAAATAAAAAAAAGATGTTAAGCTAGTAATTATAGCAATTACAGGTAGATTATTTACAAGCATATTACAATATTTTTAACTGTAGTTGAGACCAACACACTTATTTTATATGTATAAATACGTGCAAACGATGGATGCATATGATAGACATCCAGCTCACTTTGCTTTATTTGTCACATCTATATCCAACTCAGTTGCCAGTACAATAGCGATGACAAGGACAAATACAACAATGAAGATGCAGAAGATCCTAATTTTCCCATTGATTGTTGTGCTGATGCTGAGCAGCATCCTCGTTGCCTCCCGTAAGTCTTGTTGGTTATTACAACATGCATCAATCCACGACTAACACCTCTGTGTTTTCTAAACATAAATAAAAGTATCGATCGGTGATACAATACAACTGTCCGTGTCTAGTAGAAAAAATAATTACCGAGGTCTGCAAAATTAATTAATTAAAATGCTTTCTTAACTAACATAACATCTGGACGCATGTATGATCAGGTTATGTTTCAGAGGCAGAGGGGAACAAGGACGACGTGAGCGGTGAAGCCGCATGGTTTACGTGCAGGGTTGACGCAAAATGTCTCTTTCTTAACTGCTTAAAGTCAGGTGCTTGCGACCGCTGTTGCAAGAGTCACGGCTGGGTCCGTGGCAAGTGCAGGGCGCTTGACTGTAATTGCTGCATAAATTAAGACACTATTGTCGAATATTATAATTTCATACACAGCCAGCAGGAAAACAAACAAATTAGATAGTGTGTATGGTATGCATGGGTCAAGCTGCATTATATGACTGGATCGATGGATGAATAAAGTGACCGACCATTCCTTCCTTTCTTTTGTTCGTTAAGTTGGGACTAAATTGGCCGGCATTCTATCCGCTCTATCTTGAGTGTTGGGCTCTCCTATTATTCTATTAATTATGTCCAATCAAACAAACACTCGGACTCTGTTCGGCTGCCATTAAGCCGGCTTGTCAGTCATGGTACATTATTTTTCTCTCCCAACAAATCAGTCGTACAAATCAGCACAAGCGGCTTATAGACCAGCCGAACAGAGCCTCGGTCTGCACGCCCCTTCTTCATTGCATCGCATCTTTCCCACGTTGTCCTACCCCCCCACCGTTCTCGATCATGGTCGCTCCTAACTCGAGCCTTTTTCTTCAAATTCAAATCCAGCGTCTTGCTGAGCACCCTGTCTCTGCCATCTTTATGACCCTGGTCATGCACCACGCCTCGATCGCTTCTTCTCTAGTGACAACCTTTTCTTTTCTCTAGACCGTACCATGAAGCACGTTTTTCATCGAGAGAAATTAGAGTTTAAAAAGTTATACATGACTCTCAAGTAATTCTAGGACAGCAATCCAATGACACAACAAGCAGCAAGAGAAAACAGAGAGGAAAAAACCCTCGGCATCAACACTCTAACCGACTAAACCTACGATGGAAAGAGAACAACACAGTGGTGGCCTACGGTGCAGTAAAACCACAGTGGCAACGAGGCGAGCTTCGAACAGAAGTGGCGGCAAAGTATCCAGTAAAGAAAGGATCAAAGCAACCTCGGCGACAAAGCATCCGCCAAGAAGCCGGCACGACAATGCATCAAAGACACGGTGGCCAAGTAGCCGCTGGAGATGAGATGCACAGCGGTGGTGGCAAAGTATCCTAAAGCCGAGCAACGGCGGAGAGCAACAGCAAACTGCAGCCGAACACGGAAGTGGGTGCCGTCGGCCAGCGGCCGACCACGGAGACGCACGGGAGTCGCTCGCACACGAAGAACCAGGAACGGAGTTGCGGCCGCACGGCGTAAGTGCACGCGGAGTCACGGACGCGGAAGGCTGGAAGCTGATGAATCCACGCGACGGAAGGCAAATATGCCTTTCCTTCCTGGGCTTCGGCTGTTCCTACGGGCCATATTTCGGGTTGGCCCCCCTGGCCTCGAGGGCCCAGTGCGGCGGCCTAGTTCGACCCCAGGGCCGGGCCTGGTTGCACTCAGTCAATATTTGCAGTGTTTGTATTATCACAATTTGTTGAATAATAATTTGACAAATATTTCAATATTTGCAGCATTTATGTTCTCCCAATTTGTTGAATAATTTGTTGCATGTCTACACGTTTTGCTTCCATGCAATGCACGTGCATTGCATAGTGTCTAGGCGCTTATAATGTGAGAGTCCTGATGGATTCACGGAGAATTTTTATTTTTTAATTCATTTTCATTTAATATTTTAATAATAATCACATCTAAATGGATCTGACCTTTTTGTCGTGCCGGTGCCTCTGGTGTGACCAAATAACGCTGTCACACCACATGCATTGGCACGACAACACCTACCACGTTAGACAACGTTTTCGACGTGGAAAACCTTATCGCGCCACTCCCATTGACGCAACAGTATTGTTCTGTCGCGCCACCCGGAGTGGCGTGACAAGCATAGAAAAAATAGCGGGGCTATAGTAACGCTGTAGCGCCCAGAGAGACTCACCGCTAAGCTATTTCTATTTGTGCCGCTATGCCAACTTTAACCGCTATTGTGTGCTATAGCCTCGCTAATTGCATAACTTAGTGTTCAAATAGCGGCGTTATTTCAGATCTTGCCATCACTAATACATTTTGATAATTTAATTTGTTATTTTCTACTTATCATTTGCTACTAATTTGGTATTTTGGATAATTAAACACTGGACTTTCATAAATCATGTTGCAATGTCATATTAGTAAGGTTACCTAGACTTGTGGAAACCTTACAAACATATTTGTGTTCATCGAATTTCATATTTACCACGTTTTTTCATTAATTATTGGTGTTTTTCATGTTTTCTTTATAAAAACACTATATTTCATAGCGCCGCTATAGCCTCGTAGCTGTTGAAAAAAAGTTACCCTTATTTTCAATAGCCCGCTATTTAAAACTATAGTGACAAGGCTCAAATTTAGAAAAATCATAACTCCTCGATACGACGTCGGATGAAGATAATTTTTATATGTAAATTGTAGATCTCGATGAGATCTATAACTTTCTAATTTTGATTTTTTTTATTTGAGGATGTTAAGATGCTCAAAAATATATGGGAGAATTATCTATTTGGTATTGAAACAAACCAAGATTTTTAGTATTTGGCACTCGAAAATTTGAACTTTCTTATCTCGGCATCAAGTTGAAATTTCCTTTAGTAAATGACACCGCCGTCCACTTTCATTGATCATTTGTTTGTTGACTGGTTTGACCGTGTCAGTTTTTTCTCTATGTCCGATGTACCCCTCTGTTAATACACAGAAGACTGAAATTTGGCCGAGCTCCCGAAATCCCAGATCATGCGCCCTTCTTCCCCGGCTCTGTTGTGCCACTGGCTCCATGGCCGGAGCGCGAGCAGGCCACCCCGCGGGAGGCCGCCCCCGGCCTCTGCTTTCGAGCCAGCGTGCCGTCTTTGGGGCCTTGCTCGCAAGGCTATGACCTCGTGATACTCGGCGTGGACATCTCCACGGGCGCCATGGTCAGCAGCTTGAGGCCTACAGGCAGTAAGCGAGCGGCGGTGCCGGAACTCCATCGCCGGAGCTGTAGCCCACAGGGCGACGACGACGAGCAGCTACGGCCCGGCCTCACCGTCGTCCGGTACCTCACCACCTCCCGAATCATGGGTCAATTGCGCCACCGGCTACTGGGTGAGAACTCCATGGACGCCACCATCTTCTTCGATTTCGGCCACTCTCTGCGCGCCATCAATTCTTCTTCGATTCTCGACCGGCTCATGTGGAGCGTCGTCGATTCGCTCATCCTCCGTGTGTTGCTTGGACATAGCCGCCGCCTGCGCCAGCTCCGGTTGCAGGCAAGGCCATCCTGGCCCCTGCGGGCAAGACCGGCGGTGGCTCGGCAACTCGCTCGTGCGCTTGCCCGACAGCAGCGTGGCGGCTTGCTCGCGCGCGCTCGCCGGCCATGGCGCAACTGCCTTCTCGTCCGGTGGCGGCACAGCAGCACGCAGGCGAGCAGCTTCTTCTTGGTCTTCTCTGCTCTCTCTCTCTCGCTCTGAGCTCGCGCGAAGCGCTGCCGAGCAGCAGCAGAGCTCTGGCCAGCCGCTGCCATTCCGATCCGCGAGCGCCGCCACAATCCTGGCCCAAGCTCACCCCCTTGATCCACCTCGACCTAGAGCTCTGCCCCACCATGGTCGCGCGGGAGCTCCGCCCTGCCATGGCTGTGCAAGAGCTCCGGCGAGGCCCCTTCCCAACTGCAATTTTCATGGAGCTCACCTTCTCATCGGTGCCGCAGGGATATGCACACGCCGCGGGCGCAAACAACGGTGCCAAGAAGCCTAGGGAGGGACGGCCATGTGGGCGTCGCCGCGGGTCGCTCGTCGTGGAAGCGGAAGCGGCGGACCAGCACCGCCGGCACATCGCGGACTACCTCGCCGACGACCAGACCGACGTGTCGGACAATGAGTCCTTCATCACGGCGCCACGCCGAGCGAGTACGCCGCCGCCTCCCGTCGTCCGCGCCGCGGACGGGGAATGCCGCCGACGTTCTTGCGGACGGTGAGCGACCTCGTGGAGGTGATCTTTGGAGCCGGACGAGAGTCCATGGTGGTGTCTGTTGTCGAGCCCACTCTTCGCGGCGTCAGACGGGACGCCCTACAACGCCGCCGCCGCCGGCGAAGCGGCGCCCAGCGGCGCGCACACGCCGGACGGCACGTGGAGCTGAGCCGATGCTCGTCGACGTCGTCGCGGATCCGCAGGAAGTTCGCGTGTCGTGCCGCCGCCGCCGCCATCGCATTGCCGTCCCCCCCGCGCCCGAGGCCGCGCGCCCTCGAACCAGCCGGTGTGTGCGGGGGCGGCGCTGCCCCACGAACGGCGGCGCGTCCAGCGCCTCTGAATCGTCGCGATCCGGGCCGGTGCGCGCTCAAGGGCTTCCGGTTCATCACCCGCACCACTAGCGACGCCGACGGCGGCGCGCTTGGCGCTCTCGGGCGCCCGTGGATGGCGCTTCAATCGCGCCGCCACCGACGGCCTCCTCGCCGCGACCACTTCGGGCGATCAGATCGGTACGCACGTTCGTTCGTTCGTCCGAACTAGCCATGAACTGCTGCAAACAAAATATTCATGTCTTTTTGGCAGTCACTTGACACCGTTACTGTCCTAAATGGACGGCGGTGTTATTTACGAAAGGAAATTTCAACTTGATGTCAGATAAGAAAGTTTAAATTTTCGAGTGCCAAATACGAAACACTGGTTTGTTTCAGTGCCAAATAGATAATTCTACCAAAATATATATAATATTTCAGCTGCATAATAATCGCGTACTATCGCGCATTAGAAAAATGGTATCTTCTTTGTATGGTGTCAAATGAAGATACTTTTTATACTAAAGTTGTAGCTCTCAATGAGATCTATAACTTTATAGTTTTGAGTTTTTACATTTGTGGTCGTTAAGATGCTCGTGAAAATAACATAAAATTTCAGCCGGGGTATACTGCTGAAATTTTATATTTATTTCCTCGAGCATGTACGGTGCATGTATGGTCAGGTTATGTTTCAGAGGGGCCTGGCGTGAGCGGTGAAGCCACTTTGTGCATGGATGTCGTAAAGTGTCTTTTTTAGTTGCCTTCGTTCAGGTGCTTGCAACCGCTGTTGCAAGAGTCACGGCTGGGCCCGTGGGAAGTGCGTGGCGCTTGACTGCTCTTGCTGCCGATAAGACCTTGTCG